CAGAGATTCTGACGGTGTCCTCTCTGGTGCTGGGCGGCTAGGCTGTGAAGCCCCTTGGGAAGGGCTGTGACCACCAAACTCCGGTCAGAAGGCCAGGTGAAAGAGCACCACACACCTCAGAGTCCTGAAGAAGGAGAGGAAAGTTCCCTGAACCAAACGTTTGGGAGGTGGCCCGTCAGTCAAATGTCTTCTCGGCCTTAGTCTCAGTCCCAATCGTCTCCGGATTCCTAAGGTTTTCCTCACCCTCACAGGTAAATGAGCCATGTCAGTCTGTCCACCATGCTCAAAGGCCCAGTGAACCATAGGTGGCGGTTCATGCTCAGAGACCTGGAGGTGACCTAGTTCAATTCCTCCAGTCTCTACAGTTATAGGGACGGCGGCTAATGACGCAGCCACTAAGAAGTTTCCTCTTTGTTCTCCCTTGCCAGTGACTTGAGAGTCTCTTCTCTTGATTGTGGAAACACAAGAATTTTTTTTTTTTTTTTTTTTTTTTTTGGTGGTGGTGGTGGTAGACAGGGTTTCTCTGTGAAGCAGTCCTGGCTATCCTGGAACTCACTCTGTAGACCAGGCTGACCTCGAACTCACAGAGATCTGCCTGCCTCTGCCTGGGATTAAAGGTGTGCGCCACCACCACCTGTGGAAACACAAGAATCTTGTGACCATTGCTCAGATACATCAAGGAGCCTCATCAAATCGTGGCTTTTATTCTTTGATCCACCTGGCAGAGGCGGGGTGCACGGGGCGCAGAGAACAGAGCGGCACATTTCTCTCACACTGAGAACAGACCGCTGCCACTGGCCTGCCCTGCTGCTTTTTGATCCGGGACAGCCAGTGCCTGCCACGTTCAAGGCCAGCAGCCATCCATTTTGCCTGCCAAGTCCCTCAGTGGCCTGACCCCGCTGGCAGGCAGAGTTAAGCTGATCCCTTCACCTGCTGGCTGTTTATCTGGGACATACGGTTTGCAGAGAAGGGCCCACCAGAGAGAGCAAGATTTACCCTCTCAGAGCTCCTGGAGGGGAGGTTGGTAGTGCTGGCGAGACAAGCCTGCTCTAAATCTGTGCCCTTACTGCCCACGGGGACAAGCACTGTGCTCTGTGACCACTGAGGGCATCGGGGAGACAGGTGTGGGACCCTGGAGGAGCTGGCCAGGCTCTCGCACACATCACTCATCCTCTGGTGGGACCCTCACTCACCCGACTCAGCTCCTCGGTTCCTCTAGGTCTTTTCAGCAACCAAATCCCTGGTCTGGAGAACATGGTAGGTTCCTATGGCAATGGGCCTTTTAGCTGTTTCTATGGCAACCAACACTCAGACCATCTAGTTGCTAGTCAACTGACAGCTGTAAGTGAATCGGATTCAGCTTACACAAGCGGAGGGTCAGGCCCAGGGATTCTCTGGAGAGGAAAGATACAACCACCCCAAATGACTCAACTCCTCTCAAGACTTTTAGCCAATATTTGGGGAAACCACAGGCACTCTCTACCTTGAATCACACATCAGTATCCATCCGCATTTCCAACACACACACACACACACACACACACACACACACACACAAAACTGAGTGTCTCAGCCTTTCAGCAAGGCACACACTAATCTCTATTCCTGCTTCTGTCTCCCCTCAGAGGGCTGCCGGGGGAAGCGTTTGTTTGAAACCGTGTCCACCCTACTGACTTTTTGATACACAGCTCCACTCCAGGGTTGCTCTTAGGTACCACAACTTTGTTGCCAAACCACAACTTTGTTGCCAAGCCAACCCATTGTGGAAGCACTGTTCTAGGATTCTCTAAAGAAAATGGTAATCCAAGATCATCTTTTCTTAGCTGACCTCACCCACTTCACGTCGGTTCCCATGCCTGGAGCGTTCTCAGGGACCTTTCTGCTTTATCGTCTCTGTGGATCATTATCATATTTTCTCCTTTCTTTCCTACCTACCTTCCTGAGACAGGATCCCATGTAGCCCAGGCTGGCCTTGAACTTGCTATGTAGTCAAGGATGACCTTAACCTTCTTTTTTTTTTTTTTTTGTCAGAGCTGAGGACCGAACCCAGGGCCTTGGGTGCTCTACCACTGAGCTAAATCCCCAACCCCGACCTTAACCTTCTTATCCTCTAGCCTCTACTGCCTAATGCTAGGACTCTGGGCATGTGCCAGGCTTGGATTATTACTCACTATTATTTGGTGAGGACATCAGCATGCCATTGTCCTTGTGTGGAGATGACAACCTTGGATGTCAGTCCAAGTTTGAGACAGATCTTGTCTGCCACTGCGTACAGCAGGCTAGCTGGCAGAGGCATGCTGGGATTATCGCCAGCATGTTTTTCAAAGTAGTCTTTCCCCCTCATTCTTATTTTAGCTGTGTGTGTGTGTGTGTGTGTGTGTGTGTGTGTGTGTGTGTGTGTGTGTGTTTTGCCGGTATGGTAAGTCCATGCACCATGTGTGTGCAATGCCTGAAGAGGGAGTCAGAGCCCCTGGAACTGGAGTTAGAGCTGTGAGCGGCCTTGTGGGTGCTGGCAACTGAAACCTCAGTCCTCTAGAAGAGCAGCCAGTGCCTTAACCACTGAGCTGCCATGTCCTCCTGCCCTCCTTCTAGCTTTTTAAGTGGGTCCTGAGGATCAAAGGTGAGATCCTCACACTTGTTCAGCGAGCATTTTATGCATTCAGCCATATCCCCAGCCCTCACTGTTTCTTAAAACACACATGCTTGCGCATGCATGCATGCATGCATGCACGCACGCACGCACGCACATGATTTCAAAATCAAACCCACAGGATTTGAAGATAGTCTAACCTTGTTTGTTTTTATTAGTATGAAGATCAGACTGTAACAACTGGAGTCCTGAGATTTACCTGCCTTGGCTTCATGTAAGGCAGTGGTTCTCAACCCCTGGGTCTCGACCCCTTTGGGGGTCACCTATCAATATCCTGCCTATCAGATTTACAGTATGATTCATAAAAGTAACAAAATTACAGTTACAGAGTAGCAACAAAAATAATTTTATGGTTTTTTTTTTGGGGGGGGGGTCACCACAACTTGATGAACTTTATTAAAGGGTTGCAGCCTTAGGAAGGCTGAGAACCACTGATGTAAGAAGAATTTCTCAGGAAGTCGGAGGCTGGCATTGGAAAGTGTAGAGCCCTTTGTATCCCTAGGATTCAGTGCTTCTGTGTTAATGACGGTGAACTTTCTGTAGAGATGACCTTTCAAACTAATCCTCCCACAGGAACCCTACCTATCTCAGAACTGCAGGCTCCAGCGAGCCTCCCAACCGCTGGTTGGCAAACAATCCTAAGCTGTTGGGTCCCCTCCTGCTCCGATTATGAGGACACAAGGACATGTGCTAACAGAGCTTTTTTTTTTTTTTTTCTTCTAATTTTTTCGCATGAGGGCAGAGGAGTATGAAATTTGGGGTTGGGAGCTATTAGCTTCTATGGAGCTAAAAAGGCAAGAATATCTTGGGAACAGGGAGTCAGCAAACACAGAACTACATTTCTCTTTCCCCTGGCCCCTCAGCAAACTCCCCCCCTACCCCCATCCCCCCCCCCCAAAGAGGATAGCTTTATTTTTCTGAGGACACATTACCACCCATCAGACTGAACCTCCCGATTTTCCTATTTCAGGACCAAAATCAGGCTAGCACAGAGGCTCACATGGACAGAGTACATGCCCTTACTCATGGGAGTGTTCCCATGTCTCGTTTCACTTCATACGCACTGCACTAGCACTGACCCTGGTCAATGAATGAGGAAAATCAGACTGAAGCACAGAGAGATGAAATCACTCAAGCTCACATCCACAGCTCATTAATCGGCAGAGCCAAAACTTAACTACAGGCAGTTGGAAGTAATGACCTCAGCAGGTAGCTGCTTTTGGGGTTCACGTGATTCTGACTCACATAGCAGCTACGCGGGAAGCCAGGGTGGGTGGGCCCAGTGTGAAAGGATACACAAAAGACATCAGGACAGCGGGTGAGCTGCTTGCCCTTAGTAACTTCATCACTGACCCATTGCTGCCCCCTGGTGGCCTGCCTGGGAAACTCACAGGCGAGGAAAGTCAAGGACCTAGCGCTGTTGGGATTTTATGCATGGGGGTGCACACCTGCATCCCAGCACTTAGGAGGCAGAAGCAGGAAGATCAGAAAGTCAGGGTTCTCTGATACATCGCAAGTTCAAGGCCAGCCCGAGCTACACCAGACTTTGTCTCAAAAATTTAAAGAGTACATGGATTCCATACAGCAAACTGAGACCCACGACCAGACTGGTCACTTCAAGATTTAATCAATGAACGATTACCTGCTATGATGTTTCTTCTCTATCTCTTTGCGATTGGGTCTCATTTAGCCCAGGCTGGCCTTGAACTCATTATGTAGATGGGGTTGGTCTCAAAACTTGCAGTAATCCTCCTGCCTCTGCCTTTTCGTGCTGAGATTATGCATGTGAACCACCACACCTGGATTTTTTTTTTGAGGGAGGGAGGTGGGGGTAGGGGTGGGGGGAGGAGTCAAGTACACAGTTCAGGCTTGTCTGGAGCGTATGACCCTCCTGCCTCGTGTGGGCTAGGCCTGTTTCTTTATTTGAACAGGATCTCAGTCTGCTGCTCAGACTGGCTTGAAACTCACAACCCTCCTGCCTCCGTTTCTAGGCTTCCCTGTTAGGGCAGACGGTGTCCCCGTCACCACGCCCCTCCGCTCCTCTTCAGGCGCTGCTATTCGCCAGGGGGCGTTTGCTGCTTCAAGCATGCCTGGTGGTGCAGGATTGTGTGCAGCGGAGCAGAACAAGGAGGTCACTTTCTATGGATAAGGTCTTGCTGGGGAGAGAGAGAGAATGAGGAAAAGGGCGGTTTCCACTGGCTGCCTACCTGCTGTGGACCTGTCTGGAAGAAGCCGGCGACCACAGCCTGAACACAAATAGAAGAACAAGTTAGTATTAATCGGAAGGCTCAATCTCCGGTGCAGAGAGAGGGTGCGAGTTAATACCGTTTAAAAACCAAGACAAACCAAGTCGCTGCAACCAAGCGTCATCTTTAATGAAGATTTCTAAAGAACAAGGACCGAGAGCTGGCCACAGAGAAGCAGCTAATCAGAGCTCAGTTTCTGCTGCAGAACACCTCTCGGCCAGTGTGTGGACACTGGAGAGTTTGGCCACTATTGTTGAAGCTTCGGGGCTGAGGGCACTATGGAGACTCGGTAGATGGACTGGCCAGGTGCACGGGACTCAGGAGGCACTTAAGAGAGCAGGAACCTGTAGAGGTCATACCCCCAGCTGGAGGGGAGTCTCTCGGAGGCCATCCTTCACAGTGGATCCATAGCCCCGGGTCAAGTCATCTGACATCCCTAAGCCACCTCCTCCCGTCCCTACCGACTTGAATCCAACAGCAACAGCCATGGAGACTACTCTACGCTACTCCAGTCTCCCTCTCCCTTCTGAGGCCTCAACAAAGGCAATCGAGGGGGCAAGAGCTTGAGCTCAAGAGTAGGGTCGCAGATACGTTTTTGGAGGTCGAGAGGCATCAAACAGCAGTCTTGGAATTCTGTTCATCTTCCGCACGGGTTCAATTTCAGGTCTGATTTCTCTTCTGTGTCTTCCCCTCCCTGCAGCCACGGCCCTCACCCCCACAGACTCGGGGTGTCACAGAGTTTAGCCTGTGATCGCCACCGGGATCTCCCAGCAGAAGAGCTTTTGCTTTTTGTCATCCTGAAGTTCCCATTTCACCACGAGCTTTATCTGGAACAAGAAAAGGAAGTGGGAAAAGTGAAACCGGGACCCGATGTATCACCGTCAATCTGAATTCTTTCTTTTTTTTTTTTTGTGATATATATTTTTTATTTTACAATACCATTCAGTTCTACATATCAGCCATGGGTTCCCCTATTCTCCCCCCTCCCACGCCCTCCCCTTACCCCCAGCCCACCCTCCATTCCCATCTCCTCCAGGACAAGTCCTCCCCCGAGGACTGTGATCGACTTGGTAGACT